AACATTAAAAACATAAATAGATATAAATACATAAAACATCAGTTTAAAAACATTTCTAAAAGGGGGGAAGGAGAGTCCGAAGAAAATGAAAAATCTGAGGCTGAAGACAGAAGGCCATAAACTATTTTATGATCTAGTTAAATTATTATTGCCCAACTGAGTGGTAGCACCTAGGGAACCTTGGCTGATCTTGACCAAATCAAATCTTTATTATGGTGAAAGACCAGCATAAGGAAGGTGGGGTACAGTCAATTAAAAAACATAGAAAATACATCACAGTCTAAAAAATAATAATTATTATTATTATTAAAAGCTAAAAGTTATAACACAACGTATATATCTAAAAGGAATCTAAAAGGAGGGGTAGGAGCATTAGATGGGGGTAGGAGAGCATAAAGTTTAGTATACGGAAGACTATATCTATTAAATTACAGAGTACTCTACTATGGCATACTAGAGTACTCTAGTAGGCTCATTAAATAAATTTTAATGATTTTAAATTTTTAAATTTAAATTTTAATTTAATTAATTTTTTTTAAAATTTTAATTCATTAAATAGGCTCTAGTTTATGGCACAGGTCACCATCTGATGAATTTTAAGTGTTGCTGCAAAGAACCTGGCAGCATTGTATGTTGAAGCAGGGTTGGTATCTGAAAGCAGCAGGGAGGTGTAGAATTGTCCTTTGCGCCCTGGGTATTTATGCAGTAATGGTGGGATGAGGCTAGTACAAATATCTCTGTAATTCAGGCACTGGAGAAGCACATATTCTGTTATTTCTGTGTGTCCAGAGTCACAGGGGTCTTGTCTCTCTGGGTAAGGAACCTTCCTGTATCGGCCTTCAAGGACAGCTGAGGGGAGGGCCTAACATGACTTGCAAGATTGATGTCGGTCTTGCAGGGTATACCAGATAGGAACCACATCCAGATGAAATATTTCTACTTTATTGTAAGGCTACATTGACAGGATCTTGCAAGTCTGAAAGTACAGTTCTCCCCCACTTCCATCTTCACAGCCCAAGAAACTAGGGAGAGTCCCTTCTGAGCCTCTTGCCCCACCCATTATGCAGCTGCAGGCTATGCCCTCTCTTATCTAACCATTGCCTAGGCAGCCTCTCTTCACCCCATCTCCCAAGGTCTTTCCCACATACCGTTACACAGCACTATAAACTTTTTTAATGTTGTTAACGTTGATAATAAAAAGAATGGTTGCTTTGGAAAACATAGTTGCATGATTCTTATTTTATATCTTCTTTGTTCAAAAAAGGCAGAACGTTGCATCATAATAATTGGGGGTTTGCTGCCAGATATTAGCTGCATGACCTTGGGAGCGGAGGGATTCCAGGGTTGGAAAGGCATCCTCAGGACTCTGGGTTGCTCACCTCTAAGTTACCTGTATTCAGAGGAAACTACCTGTTACTACCACTTGTGGATCTTTCTCATGAAAAGCATCTGGAACTCAATGGTGATGGGCAGTTCCCATGGTCAGCAGTCTTCGGATCTCCCTCTGCATGTTGGCTGGGGCTGAGGGGTGTAGTAGTCCAGCATATCTGGAGAACATCACCTTGGAAGGATGCTGGAGTAGCCTGCATTGACTGTAACTTGTCTACTAATGAGTTTGGGGGGGCTTTAATTTCAGCTGATGGCCGTCCTGTGGTTCTGCTCCTGTTCAACGCAGGCCCGCTGGATGTAAGCTGGGCCAAGGAAAAGGATGCTGTGGGGGCAATCGTAGCCTGTTTCTTCCCTGCTCAGGCCACAGGGCTGGCTGTTGCCAAGATGTTGGTGGGCGCTGAAGGGGCAAATCCTGCTGGCAGGCTTCCAGCTACGTGGCCAGCGGGGATGCACCAGGTATAGCTGGGGGTGGGAAATGGTACGTCTGTCCTGGCTGCAGCACGTGAAACTGAAGAAATAGCTGAAACTTCCCTCTCTTAAAAAAACAAACAATAGCATGATTTTTTTAAAAATGCAAGATTCTTGCCAGATCTCAGAAAGGTGTCCCTTATCCATCAGTTCCTCTGGGGGAATCCATATCCTTTTCTCCATTTCTGCCCACCTCGATGATATTCGGGAAATCCTTCAAATCTTGTTCTCCCAGGACTTGGAATAGCATGGTTGTGGAGGCCCCATGAGATAACTTCGTTTCTTATACTTGGTGGCCTTGCTCCTTCAGTTGGCTGAGATCTTTTTTATAAGTCCTGTTTTTCTTTTTTATTTGGAAGCTGCCCGGAGTGGTTGAGGAGTTGGGCAGCCTCAAAATTAGATAGATAGATAGGTAGATAGGTAGATAGGTAGATAGATAGATAGATAGATAGATAGATAGATAGATAGATA